CGCCCCGGGCGGAGGACCCGGCCTGGGTCTGCGGCGTGGGCAGAAATGTCGCGTCTTCCTGCTCGTACTTGTACCCGTGAGCCTCGGGATAGGTTTCTGGAAGTTCTCAGAATCCTGAGAGGCTTGAGAGCTTGTTGACAGAGCTTGTAGCCTGTTAACCTGACGTCCCTCGGGGGTGACCACTGAAATCCCAAGGCTCATGGTGACCCCGCAGGATGATTTCAGAAATAAAACCGAACAGATGTTTTCTTCCTCGACCTCGCCTCCTTTGCCATTGCTGACTTTATGGTTCTCAGCTTCCTACTCTTGCTTTTTTGTGTCCTTTTTAGTTTTCGTTTAAAAGAAGTGTGTTTCTACCCCGGATAACTGAGAAGCTGCCTTCGCTTCGTCCCTTGGATTTGATTCCAATATCTTGTGTCTGATTGCTTTCTGAGACCGTCTCGCCCCGAATTCCGGGTCCTCGGTGGTCCTCCTGTTTCCCGGTTGTTCAGTGGCTTCTACCACGTAGTAATAACTGTTGGAAATAAAATTTTCATTGGCCGGGCCCTCAGCAAGTTTTCTCCTTGCCACTGTTTGTGCAGAGACTTCAGCTCTGGTTAGAAGCTGCAGTAAGAAGGAAAAAGCTGGTCTGACAGTGACGGGGCCCTGAGCTGTGCCAGGAGAGCCACAGTTCGTCCCTAACCGCTTTGGCCTCTCGAGTGCCCCACGGGAGACCTGGCTTCCGCAGGGGCGTAGTGGCCGCTTTTTCTCTGGCTGTTCTCTTGGGCCTCTGGAGGCCAGTCAGAGAGGTGAGGAGGAGCTGTCAGCAGATGTCTGGGGAAAGGGTTGCGGTTTTCCAGCAGGTAGCATGCTTCACTTTGCTCTCTTGGCCTTGAACTTGTTTCTTTTCTAACTTATTTTTGCTGGTACTTAATAGCAGCCTTCTGGAGAAGTTCTAAGGTCCCTTATACCAAGTAGTGAGCTGTCTTTTGTTAGTAGTATGTGGCAATACTTTTAAGTATTGCCTAACAGGGCCCTTATGATGACATTTTTGGTTTTTTGTTTTGTTTTTTGGAGACAGGGTCTCGCTGTGCAGTCCAGGCTGCCCTTGAACTTCCTGTAGCCCAGCTGGCCTCCAACTGTTGCCTCAGCTTCCAGAGTGCTGGTATAGGCGTGCACCACCACGCCTGGTTTTATGATGACTTTTTTTTTTAATGCCTTTTTTTTT